CCCGTGCCCGGGCCCCCCCCCAGCCCCACCTGCCCTCCCGGGACCAGGTCCACCCCGGGAGACCCTACAATAACAAGGGGGGCAGCCCCAGGCAAGAGCTCTGCGGGCTGGCTGGCCCCGTGCTCCCCGGAGAGCTGAACCCCTGTCCCCAGGAGACCCTACCATAACAAAGCGGCACGCGCGGCAGGAAGACCAACCCCAGACCACAAACCCGTTGGCACAGCCAATGTTTACGAGCCACCCTACAATAACAAAGGCACGGGGACTGCTCCCTAAGGAGCCCAAAGCCAACCCCAGGGAGGAGGTGACCCTACACCAACACCCCCCAACCCTTCCCAAGGGGCTGGGGACAGCCGGAGCAGGCAGGCGGGTCAGGCTGCGCTCCGTGTCCTTGTCCCCACGGCTGCCTGGCCACGGGAAGGGGGCCGCAAGCCCCACAACGTCCCCCCCACCACCACCACCCCGGAGGTGGCCTGTCCCTAAGCGGGGGGCTGTCGGTCCGGACCCCCCACCCGCTCCGGCGGTACCTGGGGCGCGGTGGGGCCGGGGAGTCGCTCCATGCTGACGGCGGGGCAGCGCTGCTATTCTGGGCCCGCGGCTGGCGGGGCCCTGGCAGATAGGGTGTCAGCGAGCAATGCCAGCCATGCCCCCGCCACCGCCGCGGCGGGGGGGGGCGAGGGGAACGGAACGGGACACGACACTGCTGCCACCGCCGTGCAGCTCCCGCAGCCACTGCGCCACCCCGCCACCCCCCCCAAGGACCGGGCTGGAGGGGGATGGCCGCGACCCCGGGGACAGCGCTGGCCCTGGGGATGCTGGAGGAGGGCTGGATCCATCCCCAGGCTGGGCAGCAGCCGGGGACAATTTGCCCCCCAACGCTGTCATGACACTGTCACTACCCGGGGGCCCGCTGCCGTTCAGCCATCCCCGGCCACCCCAGGTCTCACGGAGGGGATAGCCCACACAGCCCGGGGAAGCTGCTTCCTCGCCCGTGGGGCCACCCCCTCCTGCCCGCCCTACGCTCACTCCCGGTTCCATTTCTATTTCAGGAAGGTTCAAATAGCCCCTTGGCCGCCCGCCGTGCCGGCCCGGGAGGAGCCGTGGGCGAGCAGGCTGGGGGCTCTCGGCCCAAGGGGACAAAGCGGCTCCAGCTGACTCCCTGGGGATGGCTGGACCCTGGTGGGGTGCAAGGAGCAAAGCCCCCTGTCCCCTGGTGCTACCCCAAGGCAGAGAGGATGAAGAGGGAGAAGGCAAGGAGGGTCGGCACTGGGGACAGGCTGGTGGGTCTGGGGTGACAGGAGGACACAGTGGCTGCCCCGGTCCCCGGTGGCCCTCGCCCTGCAGCGGAGCAGGGGGTGGGATGGGGTCAGGCCCTTACAGCTGCGCCGAGGCGGGCAGCCTGGCTCCAGCCTGGCCACTGCCGGGTGCTGGCAGCAGGGAAGGGAGCAGGCATCTCCACTTTCGGCGGCTATTTTCAGGTGCTGGAGAGAAGCCGAGGAGTGATGAGATTGTCACCAAGGAGACCGGAGAAACAGGGCTCAGCTCTGGGCAGTGGGGGGCTGTGGGGAAAGGGGAGGGAAGTGCTTTCTGCGAGCCCCAGGGCCCACGCCTGGGGCTCAGCACCTCCCCTGGCCCCAGAAAACCCACCCAAGTGCCCAGCATGCCCCTGCCAGGCTGGGGGGACTTAACCTAAATGGGGAAGGGACAGCTCAGGGCACCCAACCCTTCCTTCCTCTGCTGTCCCCTTCGGTCTGCGGGAAGAGTCCCCAGGAGCTAAGGCAGACCCCAGACCACAGCAGCTACGCTGGGAGACGCTCCCCCATGCAGGGGTGCACGCTTACCTGCCATGGGGCAGCAGGAACAACCCCCGGCTCCGGGAAGGACAGGGGAACGGCAGGGTGGTGGCACAAGCCCTTCCTGTACCAGGGCCCAGCTAAGCGTTGGGAGAGCCAAGCTGCTCCACAGACCCAAACGGGTCAGGGAAACGGAAGCAGAGGGGGGCCAGGAAAGCAGCTGAGTGTTAAACGCTAATAGAAATCCTTGAGAAATGAAAGGAAAATAGAGAGCAGAGCTCAGGAGCAGAGCACCAGCCTGCAGTCCCCACACAAATGCTGCAGGTCACCCAGGAGAGCAAAGAGCCTCACGAGGATGCTCCCTCCCTGGCAGCCCTACTGTCCCATGACAAATCAGAGCCATACTGGTACCCATGGTCTCTCTGAAGCAGCGATGTGCAAGCCCAAGGTTTCCCCCCAGCCTCAAGTTTGGGGGAGGGCAGGATATTGGCACAGGCGTTCAGAAAGGATGAAACGGGTCGGTTGAAGGTCCTGAGCCCTGCTCCTTCCAGAGGAGCTGGGTGGTGGCTGGGGACTTTTCTCCAGCTCCAGGCTGCAGCAAGGCAGGAGCAGGCTCAGCTCCCAGCGATTCAGGATGAGAGCACAGAGACACAGGAGAGCAATGGCTCAGCCTGTGCTGGCTGAGGACAGGAAGGACGGGCTGACTCCAAACTGAGACAGCGTGGGAACACAGCAAAGAAACCACAACCACCACGTCAGGTTTTAAGAGCAGCCCAGGACAAAGCCCAGACAAACCCCGCTTCCCCAAGCTCTGCCATTTGTTTTAAAAATGGAAGTCACACAGCTCTCCCCTTTGCCCAGTAAAACATTCCTCTCTAAAAACAGCCCCAGGAGCAAGTGTGCAGCACAGGGGGCTCCCACGGTCCTTGCTCTCCGGAGCCAGCTCCTGTCTCTTCCTTTGAGGTAGGTTGAGGTGTCCCCAGGGAGGGACGGCGGCTGCCTGGGCACATCACCAGGGCAGTGTCCGAGAGGCAGCCAGCAGGTTTCTGGTCAGCTCCACCAGTGCACTTGTTGAGAGGTAAGCTCTGAGCAGGGCTGGGCTCCAGGCATCTTGTGAGGTCCTCACCGGCTGAAGGGAGGAGTGTGCTGCAGGAGAAAGGAAACCCCATGCTGCTTAGGGACAGCGAGAAAGGATCAAAAGGGCCACGGTGCAACGTTCATAGAATCATAGAATCGTTTAGGTTGGAAAAGACTAAGATCATCACCTGTGGTCGCATCATACACAGGCTCAGAGACAGGGCTGCCAGGCTCACCTACTCCATCCCCCACCCTGGGCAGCACCAGTCACCCCAACAGACATGCAAGACTGGGACTTTAGGGTCACAGCTTGATCTCCCTGGCTGCACGTAAACCTAACTTCACCCTGGCCTGGGCACAGGAGCA